GCGTTTCAAATAATTGTAAACTTGGTATTTATTGTAATTTTATTACTTAAAAAATGGAAAACCTATTTACAAGTATCATTTTATTGTTTTTTCATTGCATCTTCTCAAACTGACGTCCATTTAATCCAGACGCTGCTAACAGTGCGAAGCAATGGAATCGCATACACCATAAAACAATTCCATTCGTATTTGGGCGCATTCATGCTCAATGGCTTTTCTCTTTCTGAATTATTTAAAATATAGTGAAAAGGCAGTGGAAAAAACAATAAAATGATACTTCTAAATACTTTTACATTTTTAAAATAATAAAGTTATAATAAACCTCGAAGTTACAATTGTTCAGAATGTGTATACATTTTTTTGTGACACCCTGCATATGTTAGGTATTACCGACAAAGACAGAGGGACTCCCAGGAACGCCTTTTCTGGCTTATTGGCCGTCGTCAGCTGGGGATACTCAGCTCCAGTGTAGCAGCGGAAATTGCTGCCAAACTCGAGTTTAGAAATCACGTCTCTCCAGTCAGAGGCAAACGCCTTAACCATTGAGCCACGGGTCCGCTGTCTTGTCGGTTTGTGATCATGAGTATATATGGTAGTAGCTAACTCTACACCGATCTATTTCAGGATGTACCCATCATGGTTTTATATGTTTTCTATCAATTACGTTTTGATTTACGAGGGCACCAAAACTTAATGGAGAAAATCATACTATTTAAGTAGAATTTTTGCTCAGAAGGTATCTTGTAGGCCGTCTGAGTAAAATACATTTAATCTGGACATCCTGCCATAACCGAAATTCCTCGGGATCATGATACATGAAAATCAATATTACATAACCGCCAAAATTAACTATCCTAATCGAAAACATATTTCGGCATTTCAATTGTCATTTCAAGAGGTAGATCAGATATTGTACATACAGACATGAAAAGTGTGGGCAAAATACCATTTTTATCTCAATTTTTTATGGAAAATGGCGTCCTTAAATTTCGTACGGAAAAAAATTTCAGTTTACAAAACTGAAAAAAAATTATAAGTCTTGAGATGTTTGTTCAAGCGGCACCAAATCTGTGCGCTAATTAGTTTGTAAGCATAAGAGCGTGATCTGCATCCAGTAAAGAATTTAATGAGCGCGACGCGTTGTATTTTTTTTACTAAATAGGAGGCACGACTATTTGACTTGGGGGCCTAAACGCAAGTGCAAAGGCAGGTGGAATTCACACATCTTGGCGAATTTTTAGACAATAATAGTCATTGGAAAATGATCTGTTAGCATCCTCATTTAGTAGAGAGGTCCAAAATGCAGACAGCACTGCATCTAGTGTTTACAAAATTTTTTAAGCCAGAATTCAGATATTATTATATCTGTTGAAGGGGAAGTCGAAAGGCTTGGTCAGTATGTTCCAGGCATTAGACCCCGGCTTATCCAGGAGAGACAAAGACTGTACAAACCTACATCCATAAGGTTATTTTGATGCTAGCCCGTATTCTGTGACCCGGGTACACAATTTTCATGTCGCTCATTTTACCTCTGACCGAACCAAACAAAGGCTGTCCAATTTGGTCCATGGCCTTGCGCAAGGGCGGTTTCCGCCTTCTATACGACCTTATTGACCTCTCAGTACTTTGAATTTGGGCATCAGTAATTCTCGAATATTTTCAGGTGAATGAATTATTTCTTTCTGGGCACAATTATTCGCCGAGCGATTGGCCCTGTTCTCCATTCCCCAGACGCTTAACACTTTTGTATTCAGGAGCAATTACTGTTCAGTTTAAGGGCATCAGAATAACTACTGAATGACACTGGGTGTTTCTGTTTTCCTTGTGATCTTTTAAGCTTATTGAAATTGTGGGTTCGTTCCACGACGCACAAGCCTGCCGTGCTGGGCGCCAATGTTCCGACAGATTGTCCAGCGACATACAAGGGGCCGTCACAACCTACGTAGCTGCCGCTACTCACACTAACGTTATTTAATCCAATGCCACTTACACAATTTTGATTGGGAAATATTTTTGGGGAAAATCGATGGTACTCGGAATATCCTCACAGACCATATTCTGTCGACTCATACTGTTCAGCACCTCAATTATTATCATATAAGGTGACGAAACTAACTCCAAAGCGTGTATACCTTCTACT